GGGAAAATAGACTATTCTCCTGTCTTAACTATAAATCGCCATACAATCTACACATGATCTATTGAGTCACGCCAAAACCCACATAATCTATCTGAAATCTTGAATTTATCACTAATGAAGTATTAAAATACGGCCAATTCTTATAAAATCGTAAACGTATTGAGTTTTTCATTAAAAATTGTTGATGTGGATGATACGTTAAAAATAATATAATATTTTTTAATTGATCACACCAAAACGACGTGATAAAAAGCACATAAGTTTTTTTTTTTAATCTAATTGGTTTGCTCGAGAAGATTGCTGCTTTGCAACTCATCTCTTTCAATCTCAACTCATTATAAATCTGATTCTCATCAAGTTTTGAAGTTTGAGAAGCATGAAAGCTCGATTGAAAACCCTATGTTACAAAATCCCCAAAATTCATCAATATTTGAACGAGATTTGAATTTCTCGAGTTCTTGGTTGAATCAAAACAGAAGTTTTTGTGATGGGTTGAAATCGAACAAAACCCTAAGTTTTACGGCTGAGGAGAACAACAAGAAGAGATCTCCGGTTTCAGAAGGGAGTAACAACGACGAAATCATGTTTTCTTTCAAAGCAGATCCGCCGTGAAATCCGGAAATTTGGATCAAGGAGAGAACCATCCAGCTTTAAAATTATCTTTTCCCAGAAATTTCATTTTTCTGAGGTAAATTCTTTGAAATACAAATGAAAGAGACATTTTGAATATGTCAAAAGTGGTAGAGTCTCTCGATAATCACATCTCCAACCAGGTTTCGATTTCATATTGGGACCAGCTAAATAAAATTGAACTAAAAAAATGTCGGTTTAGTCAAATTATTATTTTTTTCTTAAAAAACTTTTTTAATTTAAATCAGACTAAACTGTTAATGGAAAACTCATTATGTTAACAATTTTGTGGGAATTGACCATATTTTAAAACTTCATGTGGTAAATTCAAATTTTCAGATAGATTATGTGGGTTTTGACATGGCTCAATAAGTCATGTATAAACTGGATGGCGATTCATAGTTCACGAGAGAATAGGATGTTTTCCGGTGTGGTGTGTAAGTGCGAGAACTGTTGTAGAGAGTAATACAGGACTGTAATATAGACCAAGTGTGACAGCTGCTGATACAGGTGCTTGTACAGCTGCTAATACAGGTGCTTGTACAGCCAACGAACACAAAGAACACGAGGTTTTCTTTTTCAATACGCTTTACTAGATCAAACGATAAGTGCACTTACAAATTTCACTCACCAACTTAAATCGTAGCTTCACGTGCTCAAGGATCTATACCCAATCCATGAACCTTACAACTACACCTTAGCCTCTTTGATAAGGATCTCTTACAAGACAATCCTTAATCCCTTTTGCTAAGACATATTGCTTACTAGAAGATCTTTTAGATGCACTTACAAGTTTCACCTAAAAAAACTTCTCTAGCTTCATTAGTTCATTGATCTATACACGATCTAAGAACCTCTCAAGACAATCCCATAGCCCTTTTGTTTTGTGTTCTTACAAGAACCCCCCAAACCCTTTACAAGAATTCTCTCACATCATGGGATTGACCCTTATAAACGACCATGACTCTCTATTTATACACAATAGGACGTCACTATGACAGCAACCCTAGCCTTGGCCGCCAAGTTGAGATAATACCAAATCTTCAAGAATCTTCAACCTTTCCTTATTCTTAGCCAAGAGATAAGGAAGGTCTTCAATGCTGCTCAATCCTCTCCAAGGCACTTCTCCATGTCAACTCCATGTCTAGGCTCGTCCTTGACACTTGAGTAGGTTGGTCCAGCCCATCTCTTCAAGTCCACGTAGCCTTAAACTCAATTTAGTCTGTTGTATTACTTCTTGTAGTACTTCACAACTGGTACAGGAAACTGCATCAATAGCTACATCTTCATGTTTCACCTGCTTTACCATCAGCTTCTCAACTCCTTTGTATTAGCTCATACTGAATTCTAAAACTCATCCAACATGCACTTTCATGGTGCGGTTGAACGGGGAACCGTTCAATCTCTATTTTGTCACCATTCAATAAAAATGTAAATTATGTGTGGAAACTAGGCCTGGACAAAAAGAAAAACCGAATTAGATCCAGGAAAACTTGATCCTGATCTAATTTGGTTCGAAAAAAATATTTGAATGGAGCTTAAGGCTAGGTCGGGTATCGAGTAATATCCGATTCAAACCAAAAGCCAAACTAATACCCGAAAAATTCCAAAGTTAAACTAAATCCATTAACTCATTTTTATCTAACTTCGAGTAATTTGGGTACTTTAGAATCTTTTAGGGAGTATGGATAGTTTTTATATTGGATTTTCGGTTAATTCATATATTTTCGAGTACTTTCTTATATTTTGGGTAGTTTACGTAACTTTTTACC